TTATTTTTAAATGCAGGAATGACATCTTGACATCTTTAAGTCCGCCCCAGTTTACCCAAAAACAATTTAGACAGTGACATGGCCAGTGGGTTTTGCCAGGCCGCAGTTGTAATCATTTCATGTATACCTTACGAATCCGTACGAGGATCTTTCTTCCAACTATGCAAAAAAGTTCCGCCTTTTGGCTGGTTGGTAGGTATATAAGGCATAAAATTTGCACGGGTGGAAGATCCACATATACCTTCAGCACCAGAAACCTGTTATTTTGAGGGGGTTTTCACGCACACACACACACACCCGGAAACTCACCGGGTTTTGTAAAAAAGCATTTGGTTTTCCAAAAACCACTGATGTGTGACATCCTAGAAGGCTTTTGTTGATGAATAAAGGCATTGGATGGGCGTCCCTTTGTGCCCAGGTGCAATTTCATTCCTCCACCCAGCTCGCAGACTGCACGAACAGAATCTTGTGAGTCACGCAGGCCTCCCGCGTAGCTTTTCTTTGAAGAAAATTCTTTACGCATATTTGTGGCAGGCACGTCGCGAGAGGAGACTTCGATGTTCAAAATTTAGACAGTGACACATTGCAGCTCTTTTTTTTGCAGGAAGCGCCGAGAGCGCAAGGCTGACCGCGCGGACCGCAACCGCAAGTCCGCGCGCGAAAAGCTAGCAGCAAAGGACGGCCGAAACAAGAATTCTTGTGCAGTTTTCGGAATTTGCTCGAATTATTCAGGAAGAAGCTCTCGTTGCCAAAAGGAGGAAGGCTCAGAAGGCATGATATTTTCGGTTTCCCCGACTCAACGAACGTGCTTAATATTATGCAAGTATAGCCCAAAAGGAGTGTTTTTTTGACCTTGCTTGAAGTCGCAATTCCAGTGGTCTTTGCATTGCTCATGACATGTAGAGACAAATGTTGGTAAATAAGAGTTTCTAACTCCGAAGCGCCTCTCCGAAAACAACTGTAGCATAACAGAGCAATAACTTAATCGCAGAATTCAAGGCCACGTGCGAACACATCGAGACAATATTGTCGCGAAAAGATACGACGTACTCAACAAGACGAGAAAAGTCCCAAGAGAAGACTGGAAGATAATAAAGATGTAGAGCACTTACCATTTACAAAAGAAAACGAAGGGCAAGAAGAGAGTTACAAGGCTACAAAAACAAGGGTGACAAAAATATGGACAAGATCTGTGACAGCTACCGATAGGATGCATACCAGAAGAAGGACGTGGACATGTAAACAACATAAGGAAATCAAATTAACCACAGGGACGTTGAGTCCAGCAACTCTTTCTTATGCCAGGAAATTACGTCGAACTCGTTAAAACAAAAACTTTGAGCATGCCTTGTAGGCTTACACTGTCCCGGCACGCCGCGTGACGTGGACATCAGTAGAAGCCAACCTGGAGTGCAGGGATCTCAGACAGGAGTTCGCCGACTCGCTCGAGAAAACCTCATTGCGATGTTGAGGGATCTGGGGCGTCTTAAGCCTGGGGCTCGACCTGGGCGAGATGCTCCAGCAGCACACAGTTGACAAGTTGGTGGACCTGCTCGTCCAACACCCAATCCGAAACATTCTACAACGCGTGCACTTCAAAGCAGCCGCGTGTGAGGCCGTGCGCCTTGGCGCTGACAGGGAGGCCCTCCAGCCATGGCACGAAACAATCGTGTCGTGGCTGCGAGTGGTCGTGGCCCGCTGGCGCGAGGTTGAGTACGCCAACCCGCGTGACAAGGACAGGAAACGAGAGAGAGATCGACCATGGAATTGACAGTTTCAACATAGCCCCGGCTAATACAACGCATTCTCCACATTTGAAAGCAATTATTTCTGTCGATCCAGGAGAGGGAGCGTCGCTCCCAAGTGCAGCTCGCCACGGAGCGAGACCTTCGGGCCATAAAGCGCTTCGAGCGGGCGCAACAGGCTCGAACACGCTCAAATCAAATTCAAAAATCAGCTTCAATTTGGCGCGTGAGGTACAGTGGGAAAGGGCCACCCACAACAACAGACAGCGCAGAGCCCGCTGGCAGCAGCTCAAAGACGGAAAGTCCCAACAGGACACGTCCATTGCGCTCCTTTTCAAAATGAACATCTTGGGTCTGTGTAGGGCTGGGTCGGGTGCACGTTAAGCTATCGGGGGCGTACTGGGCCCTGGGTGGTGCCAAGGTGGGAAACTGGTCCGTGTCGGAGACGGGAGTTAAGCTATCTGGTGCGCATTGGGCCTGTGTTGCGCCCATGTGATCTATGTTGGGCACATCTTGGGCCCATGTTGAGCCTATGTTGAGCCTATGTTGGCCTATGTTAGGCCTATGTTGGCCTATGTTTGCCCAGGTTGGGCCTATGTTGGGCCTATGTTGGCCCCATGTTGGCCTATGTTGGCCCTATGTTGAGCCATCTTGGAGGCTATGTTGGGGATATGTTGGCTATCTTAGGCCTATGTTGAGGATATGTTAGGCAATTGAAATTGTCTAGAAGGCCTCTACCCACAAAATGTCGATTATGCTTGTCCGCCGGGCGCGCATTACCGACACCGCCCTTGAAAAACACATGGTTTTTGCATTTTTCCCTTTTCGCCCCGTCGTACTTCGATATGCGCAATAAACCCTGTAAAACACAGTGTTTTTAATACCTCACACACACGATACACTGTAAATTACAGGGGCTTCAGTGACCCGGTAGTGACGACGGGGTCCCCCCGTTTTCGTGACGAGGGTCGGCGGCAGCCGGCGCGACCGTCTATAACCTTCTCGAAGGCCCTCCGGGCATGCCACGGGCGTCCTGGCCGGCGCCCGGATATACGCTCGCCGCCCCTGCCGCCGACCCTTTTGTTGGACCGCAGGGAGACCCCGTGTCGACCCCGTGTCGACCGATACATATGTATCTGGCACAGGCTGTTCAAAAAATGTTCAAAAACATCGTTTTTTACAGTGTTTCGTGGCCTTCGGCGGACACGACTCTGGCCTAACAGGGCACATAGGCCCAAGATAGCCAACATATGCCCAACATAGCCTCCAAGATGGCTCAACATAGGGCCAACATATGCCAACATGGGGCCAACATACGCCAACATAGGCCCAACATAGGCTCAACCTAGGCCTAACATAGGCCGACCTAGGCCCAACATAGGCTCAACTTGGGCCCAAGATGTGCCCAACATAGACCACATGGGCTCAACTTGGCCCAACCTAGGGCCAAGATGCGCACCAGATAGCTCCACCAAGTCTCAAAGAGAGAGAGAGAGAGAGAGAGAGAGACAGGACCCAGCCCTGCACATACCCAAACCCAAATAGGCCGGCGCCCGGCTGTCAGGCGTAAGCCTCATAATAAGCGAAAGCTAACCGTACTTGTTGGAAGCTTAAAAACCTTTCTCTTGTGCCTTCCACACATATGACATACATTTGAGGCAAAGGATAAGATCCTACGGGAGATTGTCCGCAAGGCAACGTGATTCAGAAGATTTTAGTCGCAAGGAATCCCATCATACATTGGTTGAAGATTGTTGGATTGACAGGTAGAAGACGAAGAAGCTGCTCGCAAGGCCACATTTTCAACCCTCTACGGTCATGGAATGTAGAGCGCTTGCTTCACACAGGCTGGGGCTCCCTCTGTGTTCGTCAAACAGACCCCGGCCACCGAATGAGGATATACAGAATTATGTTCAACTTTAATGACATGAATCCAAAAAATGCATTTTGCCTACCTCGCGAGGACCCCGAACTAGCAACAGCTCTTTCGTCAGAGCTGAAGCCTATGCAAAAACGCCCAAAGGCACGTGACACTCCGGAGTAAAACAACGACGATGTGTGATGTATAATTGCAAGGCGCTGAACGTGGAGAACTACCTCCAGGGCCTCGACCCCCAGGACGATTGTCTATTCGATTTCCGCAGTTTGGGAGCGGCTGTTCTGGCAGGATGTTGCGGCAGCCAAGCGCCGGGTAGAACTGGCCGCAGAAGAAAAGCAAAGGACAGGAGTTTCTACTCATGATAACCAAAAACTCTTACTTGCCCACGTTGAGGCGCAAAGACGCGAAGAAAGAGGCCAAAAAGAAAGCACGATCCTGCAAAGAAGCCGACGAAGAAGATGAAGAGCAGGCTAGACCCGAAAATTGGCAAGTTTATCCCACCGAACAAAGACACCCCCCTGTTTCTTGTCATTTGAAGTTGATTGGAGGCGCTGCAAAAGGCTCTGAGGGCGAGTCGCGCAGACGCCCAAAACCAGGCGATTGCTTCGCATCATTGCATTAACAACTCAAAACGAAAAACCTTTGCAAGGCACCGAGTCGCTCAACGGCACGACGCGGCAATCTGCCCCGGCCTAACTACCTCACCCGCGTCTACGAGCGATGGGCTTTCAAGAGACGAATGTTGGAGCTCTGGCTGAACTGGTTGGAATCGGCATGCAAATCGGTTGAGCCAAATCGGCCAAACTCTGGTCAAGTTTCCCCGACTAAACTATCGCCCGCGGCTACCTGGTACAAGTGTACCAACGACGGGCCGCAAAGGGAAGACTGTTGGAGCTCTGGCTGAACTGGTTGTGGTCTGGTTGTTTTGTTTATGTTGGTTTGTTTTCTTGATTGCTTCGCTTCGTTTATTTTCGTTTGGCTTGGTGTGTGTTTTTTGTTGTGGTTTGTTGCTTTTGTTTAGTTTTGTTTTGTTTTGTTTGTTTGGTTTGGTTTTGTTTTGTTTTGTTTGTTTGTTTGGTTTGGTGTGTGTGGTTTGTTTGGTGTGTTTGGTTTGTTTGTTTGTTTGTTTTTTTGTTGTTTTTCTTTTGGCTTGGCTTGGTTTGGTTTGGTTCGGTTCGGTTTGTTTGGTTGCTTGTTTGTTTATTTGTTTGTTTGGTTTGGATTGGATTGGGGTTGGGGTTGGGGTTGTGGTTGTGGTTGTGGTTGTTGCGGGTGTGGTTGTGGTGGTTGTTGTGGTTGTGGTTGTTGTTGTGGCGGTGTAGTTTTATTGTTTCTTGTTGTTTGTTGTTGTTGTTGTCGTCAATTGCTCATAAGTTCTGAATTGATGAAGCAGCGCACGTGCTCTTGGTCCACGTCCTGGCAGAACATCTACGTGGACGTCCCCCTGGCCCAGCGCCTGGAGGAGTGGTACGTACGACGTTAAGAAGTTGCGGAGCTCCAACATTTACGAGCGAGCCAAGCTGCTGTGCGCAGTGCCTTGCTGCATTGACACTGTTTGCAGTGCTTGCATTCCAGCAGCTAAGGGGATCATGGTTGGTTCCAGAAGTGGAAGTCGCCTCCCCTCCAAGACATCGTCCTGACGTTGGCCTCCCCAGCCCCGCGTGGCGTTTCCTGTCAGGTGCCCTTCTGCTCCGCGTGCCTCGCCTGTGTGCTTGGTTTGATCTGCGCGCACATGGCATGCATGTATGTGAGGGGTGCCTACGTTTATTTTAAACTGAAGCTTTCATTTACTTCGATAGGCCTAAGTCCAGTAAGGCTTTGGTTCGGTTGTGGAATCAGCTTGAACGCTCAATTAAAGCTTCGAATCGGTTCGGTTTGGTTCCTTTGGTTTGGTTCACGGTTCGTTTCAGTTTCGGTTCTGTGGGGCATAAGTTACGCAGTGGGGTGAAAAGAAAGGCGAAGTCAAAGGAACGCGAAGAAGAGGAAAGGAAAAGGGTATAGCAATTTGTGAGAACGCTTTTCCAGGCAGTCTAAAAAGCATATTGGAAAGGAAAGCAAGAGGAAAAGGAAGCGGAGAGGAACGAACAAGGAAGGGAAAGGAAAGGAAAAGGACATGGAAAATGGAAAGGGAAGGAATGCAATTTGCGAATTTTCTAAGCAGTCTAAAGAGCATATTGGACAGGAAAAGAAAAGGAAAGGAAAAGGACAAGGAAAGGAACGCCACGCAAAGGAAAGGAAACGGACAGGTAAGGAATGCAATTTTTGAATACGCTTTTTCTACGCAGTCTAAAACGCATATTGGAAAGGAAAGCAAAAGGAACAGGAAAAGGAAAGGACAGGACAAGGAAGGGAAAGCTAAGGAAAGGACAAGGACAAGGAGATAGGGGTGCTCAAAAAGTCAAAACTCAAATCACTGTTGTTCAGCCGGCATCATGTTCAGTGACCGATGTGAGGAGGATGGCAGCATACGCTCACCAACCTGGTTTCCGCCACTTTGTTCTCCAGATTCCTTCAGTGCCAAGCAACTTTTGCAAAGGCTGCAGTCTTCGCCGTGACATGGGTGCTTGGGAATGAGGCTTCTTGCGTGTTTTTGAGCCAACGTCAACAGCCGAACCATGTAGGAAGGCGAGGAAATCCCGTCAGGGCCGAACAAGAAACAGAATACAGCTAAGCCAGAGAAAGCTTCCGCAAAGAAGGAGATGTCGAACTTGAAAGACACAAAGGAATCCAAAGAATTGGAGCCGGCAAAAGAAAAGAAAAGGCACAAGAAGCATGAAGATGACTCCAAGAAAGACAAGGAGGCCAAAAAAAAAAGGAGATTCTGAGAGGCTTCGAAGGCTTGGCGGCTTAGATATCAGAGACTTAGAGACTGCTGAAAAAGACTGCAGGCACAAAAACATGAGATGCGTACCACACGTTCTGGATCACAGCGCTTTTTTTTAGCACCCCACACTAACTTCCTGTGAACCTCCTTGCGTGATCTCGTGTTATGCTTTTTGATATGGCTGGAACGGGGATGCCCCCTGTGCTTGTGATATATATATATACGTATATGTATATGATTATGTATGACTTATATTGATGTGTATGAACTATATATATATGTATATTTATTTAAATTGAACCTATAATGCGTGATTCATATATGATTTACATAGTCCATTAATATGATCCACGCACTCTTCCAAACCCCGAGTATCTCTCACATGCTTTCGCAGTTCCAGTTCCATGTTCCGCTCCGGGGTGGCCGCCCGCCCGGGTTCACTGTGTCGGGCGCCTTAGTGTGAGGTAAGCAGGCATGCTAATCGTAGGCTCTTGAGGATGTTTCAACCCCGGCATATGAAGAGGTTATTCTGGCAGTGATTTTTACCAATATCTTTAAAACCATGCAGATTAAGGATATGTTGCGCATGTCCTTAGAGGATTGTTTATTGTTTGAAATTTTGGACACATTGTTTGGATTTGTTGTTTAAGGAGTTTCTATTTGCCACTATGCATGAGTTTCAAAGACAGTATCAAATGAACTCTTATAGTGATCTTCTGTTATGGATGATGGTACCCTGCTGGACATGCTTCATGTTTGGCACACTGCTTGGCCGACCGGTTTGTGTGTGTCGGGCGATTTGGTGACTGTCCAGGGCATGCCTCAACTGAGTTGGACCGGAGGTGCCTGATTTTTCCCCTTCAGGTAGGTCCGGGTGAAGCCACACAAGATGCCTTTCCAGGGGGCAGGGAATTTCATTAATCCACGACATTTGAAGAATTTGATGTTCTACGGCCGTAAGGTTTTTGCTGAATCACGCGAAATCGGCCAAACAAAATAACAAACTATATATATATAGTAGATGGTTAAGTTATGTCACCACTTCGGCCCCTGGATGATTCTGGGTGTATAGGTACCACCTCGGCCACTCATGCTTGTCATCCCTTCCGCGCTTGCTTAGGATCCCATGGGCCGGCGGATCCGATGGGCGCGGCTGCCTGCCTTGCTGTCGGCAGGCGGGGGGCGTGGTCGGTGGTCGCGTGGCCCGGGCTCGATGAGGCAATGAAAGAGGTCGTCAAAGCCTTGAGTGGCATGGCATGCTAGGGATTCACCGGAGTTTTGAAGTCTGAAAAGGCTTGCCGGTCTTTCGGGTGGAGGGGCGCACATGTTTGCTTCTACTACTTTAAAGACTCCTCATACCATCAAAAATGTCAGGTCTTTTCATTTGTCTAAGTCCCAACCATCCGGAGATGTGCCCCACCACGCACCACCAGCTTCAACCACCCCCCAACAAAAGATAATCAAATCACCATCCCTTCGGCGCCGCTCTTTTTCTTCGGAGCGCTGGGCTCTGTCGGGAGACCTCGCCGTCAGGTGGCTGGACCTTCTTGGTGAGCCGTGTCGAGCGGAGAACGCCCAGCCCGCCCAGCCGCGGAGCCGACGCTCGCGTGCTGCGTGGCGCTGACGCGCGCGAAGTGGGCCCTGCCGAAGTGCAGGTGGGCGTGGGCGTGAGCGATGGGGGGCTGCAATGCTCACGACATCTGATGACCCACGTGATTGTCATGTCGCTCAACTAGTACATACCAGGGCCTTCAAGGGGTGGTTAATGGACACCCCGAATCACGGCTGTTTGGGGCTATACATAGACACCCCTACCAGCGGAGGGTCCTGGTATGACACTATAGTGAAGTGCTTCATTGACTTCTTTCGAAGCGCGCGGACGGACCGCGCTGATGTGAATGCACTGGTCATGACTGGTCAGAGACATCGCAAGATGGCTTTGGTAAACGCTCCACACAATGGGAACGCGATGGGCAACGCGTGATTGCGAACCCGGTTCTATTCTCTTCACTTTTGGGGTGTGTAAACATGTAAACTAGAAGCAGATCATGGAAGATCATGGAAGATCCACTGGCTGACCTTGGCATCGCTCAATCCGAATCGCCCAGGGTGAATCGCCCTGTTTTCCAATTCGCTGCCAGGGTTCGACGGGCCCAATGTCGGCCTGGCACTTCGCAGGGCTCACTGCGGCGCTGGGCGCCTGGCAGGCTGCGAGGCAAGGAAGACGTGGAGGGAAGGGTTGTTGCTGGTTCACGATGATGAAGAAGATGATGATGTTCAGGGATTCTTGTGGTCATCGTCAAAAGGTCCAAACTGAGGACTGTTGTTGAGTGTTGTTGTTTGTTCCTTTTTGTCCAGGGTTTGGGGATGGAAATATGCCCTCAGGAGTGCCCTTAGGCGTTCCATCAGTGTTCTAAAGATCCAAAGTTTCCTTCAAAAAGTTATTTGTTTTGAAGAACGGCCCATTTGCGCGTGCAACAACAGACATCCCCAAAATCAGATTTACAAGCAGCTTAGTATATCTACGTCTACTGTATGGTTGAGTTTCAGTTCCAGTGCCTTGACTTCGAAGCTCTTTCAAGGCCCGGTGTGGTGACGCACCGTGAAAAACGGCGGTCGGTCGCGCAGAAGGCCCTCCTTCTGGCGGCCCTTCCGATCTCAGAGAGTCGCGAGAGCATCAGGTTGGGCCTTGGGAGGTCCGGATGGAGGTCCGGAGTAACCCAGACACGACTCACGGGACTGCCAGACTACCGGACTGTTTCTCGGCCAGGGGTGGTGCCAATGGGGGGGTCTGTCTGGGGCGGCATAGATGACACACATGGAGTGTTTGGGTAAGGAGTTACAGACGAAGTGGATGGCAGCCAGTCCCGCAAGGAAGACGACTTTCCTCTACCAACATAGGGTTTTCTATGGTTTTCTTACCTCCATGTTCATAATAAGTCGGAGTTGTATATTGCCCGGAACATCATCCCGATTCACCACCTTGGCCGAAAGCCCGAAACCCGCCCGGGTCATGCGGCCCCGGTGCCCCCGGAACCGATGGCCCCTCCGCTCGACCGAGCGAAAACGAGGCTTCAAGGTCCTGGGTCCGGAGGGTCCAACGGCCTCTCGGACCGGCGGTGACGTGGGGTGACGGTGGGGGCGTGGGGGCGTGAGCACGACGGCGGGAGGGATGGGTGCACCGTGGTGTTTGTCTTTCTTTTTTTTTCTGCAGGTGGACGATCAACAGGTTCAAGATGCTGAGGTTTTGACATCCAACCCTGCACCTGAACTTCCTTGAGGCAGCCCAATCTTTGCCTTGGTTTTGGACAAACCGGAAAGACATTCTTCTTGAGAGGCAACACAACTTCTTGAGAGGACCTCCACTTTTGTTCCCCCACAATTGACCCACTCAGGTGAGCTGAACTTGGCCAAGCTAGGATTGGTGAAGCAAAGCACGCCATGACCTGAAAATTGTGGGCATCTAGAGTTGGCTATGATGCTAGAGAGAACAAGTTCGTGGTGGTGTCCTTACACTGACACTGCTGTTGTGTTGTCAAAACATATATGTAATAGGTCCGGATGTTTTGATAACGGTTGCATTTGCTTCAGGGACATCATGTGACACTCATAAGCATTATATAACCGTTGGGTGTTCTTGACTTTATCCGAGGTGTTCTTCGTTTTTTCCTCATGAGTGTGTCGGATGGAATTGGTGAGGACGGCCATGCCTATAGCAGAAGGTGGTGAATGTTTGTTTATTTATTGCAAGACGAGGAGTCAACCCACAACCTTTATGTCCAAACACTCTGAGTGAGCTGTGTGAGCAGAGGGTCCTGGGTTCGCTGTGAGGTACTGCTAAGCAGTACTTTGATTGGCCTGGCCACAGGCAGGAAGCATACTGAAGCAGAACATGTATAGTGCAGGAAAGCATGCCACCAGCCATTGCAGATGTGCTCTGAGTACTGTTTGCAATGACCCTTTTTCCTGGCACAATTTGGGTCGTTTCTTGAAGGACGAATGCAACACTTTTGTTCTGGATGGCATGCGGCCAAGACTATATATTGTAACTACGAGGTCGACATTGTGCAAGTCTCAAACCATTTCCAATAAATCAACATGAAAGTTGCCCACAAAGCGGACGGTCGGGATGGGGAATCTTGGCGGAGTAATGATACTGTATAAATCTGTATAACATCTACTACAGCTGGCTGAACCATACACCAAGAAGGGCTTTTGTTGGTGTTCTGCAGGTGTACAGGGATGTTTGTTTCATGCACCAAATACGAACTGCAGCAGAATTTAGAAGCCCCCCCCAGAAAGAACCCATCAAGAGCACCTATATTGGTGGGTCATAGCTTCTGTGACCTCTTTTCGTGCCAAACATGCCCATGTTTTCCAGCCGATGTTTGCCAAACTGTCCAGCGCCACCGCGCCGCTAGATGTCTGAACCAGGATGGGCGGTGGTGCTCTTTGAGGAGGTGATTAAGACGCTGGAGGATGGGACGGGACAAGGGATCGGTCCGGCTGGCTTGGATGGTCGTTCCAGTGGTAATGTCACTCCGGTGGCCACCATCTCCGGTGCCTGTTTGACCTGATGGATTGAGCTCCTCATCTCTCAAAGTACTTCAGGAGATACTTAAAGGGCCCAGTGAAAAAAGGGCCAGGTGCAAACCATTGCAAACCCATGTGCCTTCCAAGACCCAAGGCATCATTGACCTGGTGAGTCTTGCACACCTTCACTTGCTAGAGAACTTCCAACTGAATCCGCAGACCATGTTTTGCCGTTTTTGGGGGTGATTTGCCAGGAGCTGAGAGAAGAGCTGCCCTGGCCGGTGTTGGCACCGCTCCTGGGTCACGGCCTTAACAAAAGACGTTTTTCAGCCAAGACCAGCGTGACACCCTCACGGTGGTTGAAGAGTTCTTCCTTTGAGTAGATCTATGGAATGAAGCTTCAGTTTGGGCCGTCTACCTGGCACCAGATCAAGGATCCTGGAGTTCGACCAGTGTATACGTAGCTTTCGCGACACGTGCTGGTACTTTGCAATCGCTTGAAAGGTTTTCAACTGCGCTAGGGTGAAATGGAGGTTATTGTTTGGAGCCCTAGGGCTGGGCCGAACTGGTTTGGTTGCCAAGCCAACTCTGATGTTGTACAAAAACCACACTGTTGCCGTCGCCTCCCCCTTCAAAGTTTACTGTAGATGTCTACAAGCACATTTGTTGAAATCAATTAGGGTCAGGCGCAAGACCCCTAGACAGCGGACACACAAGACGGGTCTCACCGCAAGACGGTACACAACACATTAGAACATGCAGTTGGGGTGAAAAAGCAGAATGTTGCCTCTCAAAGCACGATATCTAAACATTGACAACCACCTTGTTGCACAGTGTATGTTACACCCACCAAAAGAGCGGCACAAAAGTGTCCCTCTTCTCTGACTCTTTTTGGTCTCTTCCCCTGTCCAAGCAAGCCACAAAGAAATAGAAACACACACAAACTCGCATCAACATACCGTAAAAACCCCAAACCCCCGCCTTTCCATCCTTAAACACCTCGGCGCACCAAACCCACCGCACCGCACCGAAACGCGTCGCCCGCGCGGGCAAGGCGCCCTCCTGTTGGCCGGCATCTTCGCGGCCTTCGGCGGCCGTGAGGGCCTCGCGGGCACTGACATCAAGTCGCTGTCGGGAGGACCCAGGAGACGTCGGAGGAGCGCGGGTAGGATGGCGTGACGAGCACGCGTAGCAGGTGAGACAGGTCCTGAAGGGAGGGAGGGAGAGGAACTTTGGAAGAGCCCCAAGCTTCCGGAAGGTAAAGGGTGGTGATTGAAAACGCAGGATCCAGGCTGATCCACTTCGGAATGATTCCGAATTGAAGTGGTAACAGCTTGAGAGCGGCGAGTTTTGGGTTGGTGAACCTGTACATTTGCACTTTTTCTCTTCAGAGAAGTCAGTTCATGGCACCGGTTAGTGAGAAGTCAGTTCCAATGTGTTTCATCAAATAATCAGATCTATATACCAGCACCCTCCAACAGGTGCTTCCTGGTGACAACAGGTGCCCAGAAACCACCTGTTAGTGTCTCCAAACAGCCTGTTGGAGGGTGCTGGTATAGGGAAACTCTTGACAGTACTCTTTGACTTCCAATCGGTCAGTGGACTGGAGCGTGCTGTGTCTGCTTTTTTCTCACAGCACGCTCCACAGTAGCTTTATTTAGGGGTGGTGGCTGGGTGGTGGCTATATATATATATATTTCCCTAAGCCAACAGTGATACTCGCAGACTTGCAACAATATCTTGAACTTGGAGCCACTTTGCTCCAAAGAGGCGCTCCCTGCCTGATTACCGTAAAATGGTTTTCCAGTAACTGGGACCGGGAGTCCGCAAACAAACGGCAATGCGAACATTTATAGTACATCAAATCGGTCAAAAGCGGGAAAAACATGGTCGAGGGATTGAACTGTCCAAAAATGATCTCAACATGTGTGCGTCAAAGTTCCCAGAGTACGGAGAGAATAATATCGTCATACTCCAACCTTAAACAAGATCATGGAAGAGCACTGAGCACAACTAATGAGATAAAACACATCATGAACATGCAGCATGCATGTCTTCTGAAGTGAGTCTTTCTGTCAATTTCTGTCCCACCACTCATCCACCCAGTCATCCGGCCAAGGAAATCCTATGCCGCCGCCGGCGGCCCCGAACCTCCTGACAACTGGCCGCTGCGGGCCGCAGGGAATGCCCTGCCCGGGACCCGAATGAAGGGGAAGAACGGTGTTCCGGTCTTCTGGGAGCTGATCTCCCATGTCCCAGCTATGGAACTGATGCGGATGACAATGGAATGAATCAATTCGACAACTATCGATCCACTACCAATAATATGGAGGAACCAAACGTCATACCGGAATCTATATGTTATTATATTTTATTGTATAAAGGAAATATCATTAACTGGCATCTTCCTTTGTGTTGGCCATCGTTTACATTAGCTGACCTACCTGTTGTTGCCATCGTTGAAGTGCCGGGGCAGACTTGGAGTCACTTGAGACGATGGCACAAGATCCACCAAGGAGCACACTTGACAGGTCACCTAAGGAGCGGTCCATGAAGTCTCCTAGGAAGGAAGATCAACTCTACTAGTACACTCCTTGAAATCATCACAGACCATGTGTTTTTGTTCCACTTCCACTCTCGTTTCAGGGAGTGTAACTCCAAGGGAAGGGAGGGATGAAGGAACACGGGACATGTGTCCAAAAAAATGGGACATGTGAAAGGGACACCTTGACGGGTGAAGATGGAAGCGTCATGTTCCGGGCACAGCCGTTCGTTCTGATGTGCAGAACCTTTCAAGTTTGCACCATCAAGAGGAGGCGACGCTGAGCGTCCATTTCATGCCATGCCATCCCATACCTCTCCAAGCAGCAGTTTCCTCGATAGGTTCCACTTTCAGACATGCCTGTCAGACATGTCATCAAATTTCAGGACCTTCCCCAGACCGTCCAGGACCTTTCCTTCAGAAAACTAAACCTCCAATAAACCTCCCTTGCACCAACACTTCCACCCCGAAATGCGCAAAAATCGCTCATCGTTCAGAGACCTGAACGACTCGGTAATCTGGATAAGGGCCCGTGATACGTAAAGGGGCATTTAATCCGCTGGATGTTCTTGTACTTGTATTCTTGTTTGCTGCTGTCTATAATACTTCACCCCACCCACCTTCATCCCATCCCATCCCCACCTCCTGGTCCTTCCATCCCGGCTCCCCCGCCCAAGCGAGTCAGGTCAGCGGCCGTCACGCTGGGCTCGGGCAACTCCCTGGGCCCCGAGGCACCAGCGGCCACGCTGGGCGCGGACGCCGAGCCGAGCAGATCCAAGACGTCAGGGGTTGGTGGATGAGTTCTCCCTAGGGCTCCAACCATATCCTCAGAAGGTGATTAGACCCCCCAAACTCACCATCTTCTCAGGAGATAGTTGGAGCCCTAGGGTATATAAAACCTCCCTAAGGGTTCCAGAATGTTTTGGCATCTCTTTGGGGGGGTTCAATAGTCTACATGAGATGCCGAAGCCGCCTTGATGGGACAAGGCCATGAAGCTCCTGGGAGCTCGGAGCGGTTTTGCCTGCTTTCCCCATTTGTCCTGTTTCGGTTTTTGAGGCTTAGCTTAGAGCACTGCTATGATTGTCGTCTCACTTTCTCTCATGGTCCGTGTTTTCAGGCCCCATGTGTATACTAGTGTATACTAATCAACCATCTACATGATGTGACGTTCCACCCTGAAAACCCGAAGGCCATGCATGTTGGAGAGTTGATCCCCCCCAAACACACTCAGGTTTTCTCAGGTTCTAGGTTCGTTTGTGTGGTGACAGACAGTCGATGTGGTGGTGTTTAGGTGTGGAGCAAACGCTCTTGCAGAACACCCTTGATATCAACGGAGTTCTCATCAATGCCTAAAGACGCCGAGCATCGCCTCATTGAACCCAAAAAGCTCGAAACTCTCGGAGGTCTGTCCTTTTCGGGATGGTTTCCATGTATATATAACTCTTCAGTTTCTCCCCCCCCCGATGTTTGTGTGTCTTTCACCATGACTTGCCACCCAAAACAGCTGGGCTCTTCTCAGGCCCCACCAACGGGACCGGACTTCAGACACCTCCGCCGAGTCGCCGAGGTGCCAATGTGGCCTTCGGCATGGGTCAGGCGCGACACCACCGGTTCCATCCTCCCTCCGCAAACGGGCACCAAGCGGTCGGAAGTGCTTGGATGAGGTGTCATGTGCTTTCATGATCAGGGTTTTTGGCTCATATATGGGGAAAAATCCGTAAAAGACCACAGGATTGGGTCAATGCTCGATTCTACCCGTGGTGACCTCAACATGTTTAATGGATGTTTAACATGTTTCAACTGCTCTCTTCACGTACAGTAGTTTCAGAGGTTCGATGGCACTGGCACCCCATGATTCATGATGTCCTAGAAAGATGGAGATCCATATAAACCACCAACATTGGGGTCTGTGCCATCTACTCGACTATACACGAACGAAACTAAACCATCATGAATCCAGATGAACCAAAGACTCATCGGTGCGACAACCATCATCTTCAAAGGCATACTGTATGTTGTTGCGCCACTTCTGCTTTTTCTCCGTGCAGCCGCAGCCTCGTGTGGCTCAACGGTTAGGTCTCAGGCCATCCATACGGTCGCGCCCCATGGGCGATGACAGGCGTGGCTCAGACAGCGCGCCGCATCACCAGAGAGCTATCCTCAATTTACACTGGACTAAAGACTGGAACGGCGCTGGACTTCCATTGAACATTCTAAATGTTCTACACAGACCTCAACCAGTGATGCGAAAACAGGCAGTGCCACATCAATTCTGCTGCTTTGCTTTCTATACATGTCGATTCAGGTCTATATATATATAGTATACCTATATAACAATCCTAACATAATCTAACATGATCATCTCCCGAGAATCTCCAGTGACTCCATGTCCTCCAGCGAGGTGACTGCTGCTCTTGGCGGCCTCGCTGGCCACCACTCCGAGCTTTTCTCCTCGCCGTTTCGGGCTCCCCGGTTGCACCGGCGGAGGAACAACGCGACCTCCAAACGTGCGTGGATGGCCGCGTGCCTTTGGAGGAACTGGTGCTTGGGAGGAATGAGTTTTCTTGCATGGCGGTGTTTGGAGGGGACAGTTTCGGTCACCAGGACTGTGAAGCTTCGTGTTGAATGGGAACAACATATGAGGAACAGAATATAGTGATATAGTGCATTTGGCAGCTGGGTTTGCAGCCCTCTGTCAGAACAGATCCTAGGAGCTTGGGCAATCGTATTCCTCACTACAAAACGGAGTTTCTCAACCGCCCTTTTGCTATCAGAATTCATTTGCAGAGCATAGAAGATACAGAAGTGGGACATAGCCACAAACTGTGAAGGGACACCCTCCTTCAGCTGGTTTCACATGTCAGATCTGGAACATGTCCAGGCACTGCTTTTCATGCCCGTATCCCACACCCCGTTTTCTCCGAACCTGCCCCGTTTTCTCCCTGCTCCGCGCCCAGTTCTCCAGAACGCCCGTGGAACCGCGCTCTTCGCCTCCACCGCGGAAGCCCCGCGCGGCTCCGCATCCTCCGCGGAGGACCGGCGCAGCTACCCGCGCTTGCTGCGGCGGGTGGAGGCCGGCGGAGCGCCTTGGTGAGGTTCGTTTGAAGCAAAGCACGGTGGCGAGAGGAACGTGAAATGAGTGTTGGTCAAATGCTTTGATGACATCAGATGGTCTTAGAGTCTTAAAGATTCCAGAGACCATTCTTGTGGGGGGTTATTTATACAATTTAGTAGTAGTAAGGATTCAACCTTGGAGAGTCCGCAATGGTTTCTCTACTGAACAGGGTAGAAGTGACCACATAATCACATAGCTAATGCGGCAAAAATCACATGGAGGAGTAACACATATAGTAACACGGTACCAAACAAAGGATTCTTCCACGCACCATGTGAAATGTGTGTTTAAGGTCAAAGACAGAGTTTTCTGGGTCCTTTGGGTCCTTTGGGTCCTTTCCATTCAGTTCATTGGTGTTCATTCTGATCTGATCTATTTGAGAAACAGCTCAACCTACAGAACTGTGTGTGGTACCTCTAAAGTCAGTCTCAGGCAGGGTACCACAAATGCTTGGAACTTCGGTGCAGTTCGTTTTTCCGACTAACGGCTGCAAACCACGCCGATCAATCTCTCGGGTTCGACATCGATGCATCGAATGCATCGACCCAATCGACCCAGGAAGTGAGCCTATTGCATCAGGGCGAGGACGGGAGACCGAACCCATGTGGCACGAGGTTTTACCGATGCGGAGGAATCGGTTTTGGAGTCATGGAGACACGAAAAGACATTCGTGTCTCAAGAGGCATGGCGGTCAAAACCCATGTGCTATTGGATAAAAGGTCGTTTACTGGGTGGGTAGTACCACACAAAGACTGCCGAAGAGTGCACCGTAGGCAACACAGGAAGCCCAGTTCAGTCACAGCTGATTTGGGCAGGACGCGAATATACTGTGTACTGTGCGAATATACTTGTACTATCTTGTACTTGCAATATTATACTGGCACTGCTTAAGAACAAGAACATGAGATGTGTTAAGAGCCTCCTTGGGGTTCCTGTACTTGTTTCAAACCAGCAGATCCGCTCACTGTTCAGGCAAACTGGGCTGTCCGCTTTCCACCTGCTTCCATCCATGGCTGTGGGTGTCAAGAACGGACCGAAGAAAAGGCAAAAACACGATGTCACCGATGGGCCAGGCGGCTGAAAGCAAAGTGGATGATCACCATCCGCCCCATTGTCGAAGCTCGGTCCCAGCTGTCTAGCCGTCGACGTTGGTCAAAACCGGTCGCGCGGGTGTTTGACGATGTGCGGGTTTTGGTGAGGCGTATATATTAAATAAACTGAAACAAATTAACAAAATAAAGGGTGTTGTCGACGCGAGGGTATGAATGCAAGGGTTGGGAAAACTTGCGACTTGTGACGTTCAACATTCTTCACCAATGGTTGTGGTCGATGGGTTTTACCCTCAATATAGCTGGAACCCTGGATGCAGAACTGGAACCCCGGATATCGGAACTGATGCAGACTTGCAAACAAAGATCGCAAACATGTCCAGTCAGGAAGGGAGGGTTTTCCAATGCTTTCCAAAACGTTTGGAGTTCCCTTCCTTCACATCTCAGATGATGTGACACGAGTTCTTCCGTTCGCGTTGGCTTTCCGCTCCGTTCGCTCCGTTCGCTTGACCCTTCCGTTCGCTTTCCATTCGAACACACCGGCCGGTGTCCTTCCGTCGCGTCGTCTCCGGTGGCGGGTGTGGCGGGTGTGGTGTGTGCTGTGTGCTCCACCCACCTGGGTGGGTGGTGTGTTTTCCACAAGACCTAACTGGTGGAGCACGGTGACCCCCCTTGAAATCGGAGTATGTGATCAGTGAAGCGCAGCCGTGAGAAGGGTATGACAGGGTGCATCAATGAGAGGTGGCCTTTCAAAACACGCGCTGACACGCAGGAATCTAAGCACCACTTCTAGAGGCTATAGATACTATATAGAGACCATGTAATGTCGAGTGGAACTTCAACGGCGGTGATACTGGATGGGTGATGGGGACTCCCTTGCACCGTTTCAGATGTTTTATCACCCAGAGGATCCATGTAAGATGTAAGTAAATATGGCCTACATTCACCACCAAAAACCATCAAATGTAGGCGATATTGGCTGTCCCATGGATCGTTTGGGTAATATAGCTTTGTGTACGTTTGACGTGGTCCAAACGATAAGGTATGCTACAGTCACAATGGAGTATGAGGCAGAAGATCGATCATGCAATGTGCCCATATGTCGCCCTGCGATGGTTTGATTAATAGTACCCAGAGGTTTAGATCTTTTTGTGGCGTTTAATTTGTTATTCTATCAACGGTTTCTGAACCTAGAATCTAGAGTTTATAATGTTGGAAATGGGCCAGTGGTTTGATTTGTAAGAAAGAACATGCTCTAAGCCCTACAGCATAAGACCTGAGTTACTGCACCAAGTCGCAGCTTGGGGTAACTGCTTCCCTCCCGGTGGCCACGCCGAGGGGAAGCCTACACCTGCAACCGCCACAGCGAGCCCATAACGAGCCGGCACCGTCTCCACCGTGCCCAGCGTTCTCGGATTGCGGTGCCACTTGGACGAGACTTGGGAAGGAAGATCCCCGTTTGGGCTCCTGGCCCATGTCCTCAGGTAAGGTGATATTCGACCCCACAAACCCACCCACCATCACCATCTTTGAAACGGAGGTAGGCCAGGAGCCCTAGGAATCTTTGAGCTAGGATGATTTTTTGGGGGGGAAGGGAAAGGTATACGGAACCCAAACCCTTCCCAATTGGGAAGGAAGAACATTGGGAAGGAAGATCATCCTGCTTGGACGAAAAACATGGAGCTTGGGGATTTGGATGAAAGATTGGTATAGCTTGAACTTGGGTTGAACATGGCCCAGGACCCAACCAAGGGGGTTTATTACGCTCCTTGGAACTAACATGGAAGTGGATGGCATGGCTGCTTGGAAGACTATTGTCCTCATTTGTCCTCTACAATTCCACTTCCATGTGAGTTCCATGTGGAGTCTAATTCGTTTGGTCCCTTGGGCTCCTCAAGGAGCCGTGCTTACGGTGCGACCGGGGAGATCAAGCCGTCACGCGGGTCGGAGATGACTTCAGCCAGTTGATGTCACGTGAGTCCAAGGGTCTGAGAGATGACTTCAGCGCTCTGGGAGTCGTTTCGAGTGGACATCAAACCCGACATCCAAAACGTTTGGGACATCAAACCCAGAAAGACATCTTCAGGTCCTGTGACATCAAAGTTGAGAGTGTGAAACACAGTCTGTTTCAGTTGGGCCATGTTTAAACCCATGTTTGACCTATCAGATGGTGTTCACTTACTGGGAGTCCAAGGGGAGTCAATGCTTTCACTGGACGAGCAAGAAAGAATGCTTTCGGCTTGTTTGGCGCCAACGAACTGGGCGAACTGGACCCTATATAGGGACTACAGTGACTACAGTGAACTGGCTGGTGCGACGAGTTCGCAGGACATGAGGGAGACATGTTACCTCCTAGGAATGGGGACTCCTGAAAGGATCCATTCCCTCCCTCATTCAGACTCTTCGTCGCACCAGTCAGTAAAGGGCTGAGG